GCGCCAGGCGGATGTCCCGGAGAGTGCTCTCCGCGGCGCCGCGCGTGCAGCCCGGGTCTCACCCTGGCTTGCTGCCCACTGGGAGCCCTTGGGCAGTGCACGGTTTCTTTCGGAGTCTCCCTGGGCGTCTGTCCCAGGGGGCCATGTGATCGCTGTGCCTTTTTATCTCCGTTGTTCGTAAAGTCTGGAATCACATCCCAGTGTCCGCTGACCCGATGACTAAAAATAATGAGGATTCTGAAGAAGAGGGAATGCCCCACAGCCTAGGCCTCTCCCCGACGCGTGGGAGTTTCTGAGCGCGCTCCCACGGGGTGCTCTAGCCTTGGTGACGGGACGTAAGCCTCAGCTGCGAAGAAAAGCTGTTGCCATGGAGTTTCGGGCTCCGGAACGCCCGAGCGACGCTAGCGTGGTCCCGCCGTGGGCAGTTGCGGCTTGGTCCGCGGGCTCAGCTCCCTTGGGGGTTGTTTCCAGACGCAAGTTCCAGGAAAACCCCTGGTGTTGGCTGGGAGCGACCGGAGGCCGTGGGTGCCCAGGATTCGCTCACATTTACCAAGGGACGAAATTTAGACTTGACCGTTCCAGACGAGATTATACATGCAGTTGCTGAGATAAATCCACAAATTAAAAGATAACATTCAACTCGGTGATCGCTGGACCATAAAGGTTGTGGTGGACTAAGAATACATCCCGCAGTTCCCTTGGAATAGCCTGATCATGTTGAACTGTTTTCATGCCTTAAGCATTAATTAACTCGTCAAATGCAAATATTTAACACTTGCAGCAATTGTATGTGCCTGGTTTCTTCTCGTTCTTTTTATTTTATTGTTTTTAATAGAGACAGGGTCTCACTATGTTGTGCAGGCTGGTCTCTAACTTCAGGGCTCAAGAGATTCTCCTGCCTGGTCCTCCCAAAGTGCTGGTATTACAGGCATGAGCCACGGCACCAGTCTTCTTCTTCTTTTAATTTTTCATTTTTTTTTTTTGAGACGGAGTCTCACTCTATCACCCAACCTGGAGTGCAATGGCATAATATCAGTTCACTGCAAACTCGCCTCCCGGGCTCAAGCGATTCTCCTGGCCTCAGCCTCCGGAGTAGCTGGGATTGCAGGCGCCTACCACCATGCCCGGCTAATTTTTCTATTTTTAGTAGAGAGATTTTCAGCATGTTGGCCACGCTGGTCTTGAACTTATGGCCTCAAGTGATCCGCCCGCCTCGGCCTCTCAAAGTGCTGTGGTTTACAGGTGTGAGGCACCTCACCTGGCCTTTTTTTTTTTTTT